CCGGGTACATGGTGGGCGCGCTGCAGATGGGTCAATGGTACATAATTGATACAGAGAAAGTCGTCCGTGTAGAATAAAGAGAAAATAAAGAAGAAGAAGTAAGATAAGGAGAAACTGAGGAGGGAAGGATGAGGGGGAGAGAAGGGAAAGGGGGAGGAGGTGAGGAAGGGTGGACCAGCAGGGTACCGGGTCAGGTTGGGCCGGGTGGAGCCGGGTCAGGCAGGTGTGCCCTGACAAAAACCAGGAATCACGCATAATAAATGCAATAAACTTGATCCAAAAAAGATTGAGGAAACGAGCCATAATAGCACAGCTCATCTAGAGATAACTCTAGAAAGAATGGCCAATGCAATCGATGCGTTGACTGACAAAATCAGCAAGCAGATGGACTTGCTGAAGGAGATAAACTCCTCACAAAATAGTGAGGAAACAAAAAATATCCCTGGGCCACAGGCCAGGACAAAACCGGAACTCGTGAAAAATCCACGAAAAGAACAACCAGTGAAAGTACACTGGAGTATCATCAGCAAATCGACAGAGACACTAAGGAGATCCTTCTCCCAAGGATAGGAGAAGACGATGCCGAAAGAAGGCACTGTTCAGAAATCAGGAGGAGAATTGGCACGTACCAAAGGTTCAGCCAAACATCCACCTTTGATGAACCTCTCAAACAGAGAGGTAACACAACCACACTGAAAGGTTTGCTTACTATTTTGGGGACGGTACGTTCCGTTCCTGTTAGAATGGGCGGATGCAGACAACTCCAGAGTGGAATCGGAGACTTAGTGTGGAGGGACCTTGGCCTCAGCGACTCAAGTGGAGCGCTGTGCCATTGCTGTTTGTCCATTTGGTCCTTAATTTCACAGTAGGCAAGCAGGAAGTCTCTAGGGGGCATTTCAGGTCGATTTCAGACTGAGCCCAAAACGAGTATGTACAAGTGCCAATATATATAATGGAGGGGGCAAAAGCACAAGGAAACAAAGGGGATCCGAATCGGAACGAAGACGTCCGAACAGGAACAAAGGGTAGACAGAAGCGGAGCGGTACCGAAGGTCATAAGGCAGGACCTGTGATACGTCTGAAAGGAGGTAGGGAGGGCGAGGCCCAGAGGGGCAGGAGGATGAGGAGAAGTGGGGATGATGACTAACTGGCTAGAATGGGAAGAAGCAGCAGTCCAAATAGGGATGAGGGGAAAATGCAAGAGATACATTACAAATGGTGAAAGTGCTGAAGGCGATCCGCGAAGCTCGGAGGTTGTGGAGCTTACAGAGGTTACAGAGGCGGGGTTGAAAGTCCGAGGAATATTGGCAATGGTGTTTACGTAGTATGAGGTCACCAATGCAATGGACTAAGACCGAGGTGGAGTCAAAGTCCGAGGTAGGGACTATGACGGAGGCTCGGAGCAAAGGTATGAGCAGTTGCCCGAGCACGAAGTACGGGACAGCGGTGGAAGGTCGTAACTTGGCAGGAGGTCAGTGGAAGAGTACCAGAGGGAGGAGAGAGGAGAAAGGGAAGAGAGAAGGAGTGGTGGAAAGGAGAGTTTGTCAGGTCTGAAGGTGAGTATCGGAGCAGACGGGGAAAGCGTAGGAGGGTGACGGAAGGGTGGAGGTGTTGTGAAGGAGGAGCAGAGGAGTAGGAGGAGGAGGAGTAGGAGGGTGGCGAGAGGGGTGGTGTTCGGTCTGAGGTGAGTATCAGAGCAGACGGAGATAGGGGAGGAGAGGGGAGGAGGAGTAGAGGTGGCATGGGAGGTAGAAGGAGGTGTGTTGCCAGGACCGAAGGTGAGTATCGGAATGGGCAGCGGTAAGGTAAGACTCCGGAGGTGGGGAAGGAGGAGGTCCGGAAGTCGGGTCAGGATCGGGTATGCAGGGATATGACAGTTCCCCTGTTTGCCTCAGGCCTCAGGTAGTCCGTCTAAATATAAGCTTTAATGTGCTGTATATTCAACGGGGTAGAGGTAAAAGGCTACCAGGCCTTTACAACTACTCCAAGGTATATATATGTAAATTACATATCTCGGCACAAATAAATAAAGAAATAACCACATCACTATAATGGGAATTATAGCGATGCAACATAATATAAATATCACTATAATCAGAATTATAGTGAAGTAAGGTTAATCCCTTACATCCTCCTCCCTTGCAATATTGAATCGCAGACAGGGTACAAGCATATGAAAGGGAAAGCAAGCATATTAAGGAAGTATAACACTCTACATACAAAGAATGTATGCAAGTGGGGGTACACTCATTGCAGGAGGCTATAGTAGTAGTTTGTAGGCAAAGCCCACTTAGAGTTTCTCCTGGAACATATATACCCAGCTCTTGACAACAGCATTGTCGATGATGAAGTAGCAAGTGTCAATATGACAAGCTAGAGTAACGGTTGAGTCACCGTCGAAAATCCAAAAAAGGAAAGGAAAAGAACCAACAACAGCATTGTTGTTGATGAGAAAAGGCAGTGACACCTGAATTGGTCCGCTGCAGGATTGGGCACATACTGTGCAGTTGAGTTTATAATGCCCACAAGTTTGTGGCATCATGGCTTCCACCCAGCAAGAGATGAAGCAGTCAACCTGAAGGTTGATACTCCAGTGATGGAAGTAACCCACCGAAGGTTAATACCCCAGTGATAGTCAGTGAGTCCAAACCCGAAGGTTGATACTCCGGTGACACAGGTAACTCACCGAAGGTCAATACCTCGGTGATAGCCAGTGATTCCAAAGGTCACTGAGGCCGCTCCTCCCTAGAGTGTTGTCTGGAGAGTAAGATAATAATGAGTCAGCATGATGCTGACCTGCAAAAATATCCACTAAAGAGCGGCACGGGTTTGTTTCTCCTCCCTAGACAGTTGTCTGGGAGAGTAGTTGAAAATTCAACCTAGGAATCTAGGTTAAAAAAATAAGGGAAAATTCCCCCCACACTTGAGTGTGGGCCAGAGGTCTGAGCAGCGACCTGCTCCTCCCTAGATAATCATCTAGGAGAGTGAAGAAGTCATTCTGTCCACAAGAGCAACAGAATGGAAGCATTGCCCATGAAACTGGGCAGGAATGAGCATGTCTGATCATTTAGACACAGGTTTTTTGTTGGGGGTGGCTTGTCCGTCGGTGGGACAGCTTGTTCACTATGAAGTGAACAATAGAGAGAAGCCCTTTCCTTAGAAAGGGCCAGCCTTCCAGATGGGAAGGCAATAAGGAAATGAGCGCGGTGCAGAGAGGCACCGCGCATTTTGATGACCTGGCACTCAACAGCGCCAGGAAAACACAGACCTTCCCTTGGAGGTGGAGTGTCTGTTGGCAAGACAGATCGTTCACTATGCAGTGAATGACAGAAGAGAACCCTTTTCCAAATGGAAAGGCAACAGAGAAATGAGCCCAGTACAAAGAAGCACCACACTTTTGGGGACCCGGCACCCAATAATGCCGGGAACACACAGACTTTCCCAGAGGTGGAGTGTCTGTGGGCAGAACAGATCGTTCACTATGCAGTGAACGATAGATGAGAACCCTTTCCTTGGAAAGGGTTGGTCTCCCTTCCACGGAAGGGGTAGAAAATCATGAATCACCAAAATCGCGATGTAGAATGCGCATCTTGGTGACCTGGCATTTAACAGCACCAGGAAAGCGTCCCTCTTGGCCTGCAGAGGGCCAAGGAGGTGGTTCAGATTCGACTTCCTGCAGAGTGGAGGGAGTAGGTGCTACTGGGTTGTCAAACCCAGGAATTTCCGAAGTGCTGGGCAGCTCTATGAGCTGGCACTTGGCAGCAGCTGAAGCGCTGCCGATTCCATCTATAACCACGATAGATGAGAACCCTTTCCTCAGGAAGGGTTGGTCTCCTTTCCACGGAAGGGGTAGGGAATTATGAACCACCAGGTCTGTGGTCCGGAGCAACAGATACTGCCAGGACCTAGCTGGTGCCCCCCCAAATCCAGCCAGTGAAATTGCTGTGCTATTCTCTGTTCCAGTGTGTGGGAGTTCTGAACTATTCCTGACATACTCTGCGTTCATTCTAGTGTGCAATATAACAGAGAATATCACTGTACCATTTGGTTACAGATAATCCTTCTCTAAACACAGTGAATGCAATGGACTTATATGGAGGTGGGGTCAAAGTCCAAGGTTGGGACCAAGATGGGAACCTTAGAGTGGAGGTGTCCAAGGTCAGGGTATGGAGATGGAATGGGAAGTCATACCTTAGTGGAGATTGACAGGGTAGGAGTCAGGGGAATGGAAGGTGATTGGGCTGGAGGTCAAGTAGAATTTTGGAGACCAGCCAGGGTGTGAGTGAGGTGGGACTCTGGAGGTGATGGAAAGGGTCTGGGAGTTGAGTCAGGATCAGGATTGGGTATGTATGGATATGACATCCACAGCACATCCAAGCACAGTGCTCCATGCAGAATTCCCAGCTCCAAGCATGTCAGTGTTACAGATGTGAAAAAGAGGAAATTGTCCATGTGAAAATAGAACAGAGAACAGAAAAGTGAAAGAAGAAAGAAGGGAAGAAGGAAGATGGTGGGGCATGCCCTGACAGTGACCCAGTAGCATCTTCTGTGTCTGACCCTGAGTTAGAGCTGCCTCTGTGCCAAGGCTGGGCCCTGACAATAATATAACAAGCAGAGAAAGGGTCAGAGTTGGTGTGGTCCAGGAGGTGAGGAGGTCCAGAGTCTGGAGGTAAGAGGTCCAGAGGTTGTCAGGGACTTTGGTTCCTTACCAGCACACCAGAGGAGATTCAAGGAGGAGTGGAAGAGAAAGGGTGATGATGGTGGAGGGAGGTCAGAGCTCACTGTGGAGGTTACAGTTCATAGGCATCAACCAGAGGGGGCAGAGTCAAGTCAGGAGACAGGTGGTGGATGTGAGAGTTGTCTAGAAAGGCAGAGAAAAAGCACATATTCCTCTGCAAAGTTGTAAGACTTCATAATCTACCAACCTCAATCATACCTGATTGGGAGTACCCTGCAAATCACATACTGTTGTCAATACAACACCAGATGGTCCAAAAAGGAGACACTGGCATGGTTTGAACATGCATCCTCAAAGAGGAATTGACTTCTAGTCAACTGCCTTAGCCATTCAGCCACAATGTCCTACACAATGATGATGTAGCCTGTGAGCCACATATTGTTCTTCACCTCATTTTATGCACTAAAACAAAAAGGAGACACTGGCATGATTTGAACATGCACCCCCAGAGAGGAATTGACTTCTAGTCAATTGCTTTAGCCATTTAGTTACAGTGTCCTACACAGTGATGTACTCTGTGAGTCACATATTGTGGTTCTTCAACTTATTTTATCCACTAAAACAACAAAAGGAGACACTGGCATGACTTGAACATGCACCCTTATAGTGGAATTGACTTCTAGTCAACTGCTTTAACCATTCAGCTACAGTGTCCTAGAGTGATGTACCCCAGCAAGCTTCACCTTAATTCATTCAGTAAATGAAAAAGGAGACACCAGCATGATTTGAACATACATCCTCTAAGAGGAATTGACTTCTAGTCAACTGCCTTAGCCATCCAGCTGCAGTGTCCTACACAGTGATGCACACTGTGAGTCACATGTTGTTCTTCACTCACTCACTCACTAAAACCAAAAAGGGAGACACTGGCATGATTTGAACATGTACCCTCTGAGAGGAATTGACTTCTAGTCAACTGCTTTAGCCATTCAGCCACAGTATCCTACACAGTGATGTACCCTGCAAGCCACATATTGTGGTTCTTCACCTTAATTCATTCAGTAAACAAAAAGGAGACACCAGCATGATTTGAACATGCATCCTCATATGAGAAATTGACCTCTGGTCAACTGCCTTAGCCATTCAGCCACAATGTCTTGCACAATGATGCACCTTGCAAGTCTCATATTGCTGCATTTCCCCTGCCAAACAAAGTGACCCAAAAAGAAGACACTGGCATGATTTGAACATGTACTCTCTGAGGAATTGACTTCTAGTCAATTGCTTTAGCTATTCAGCTACAGTGTCCTCACAACAAAAGACCAAGGAAAGTACACCCTATATGTGATTTGCAGTTTATGCAGGACATTGTAGCTGAATAGCTGAAGCAATTGACAGAAGTCAATTCCTCTCAGAGGGTACATGTTCAAATCATGCCAGTGTCTTCTTTTTGGGCCACTTTGTTTGGCAGGAGAAATGCAGCAATATGAATGAGGCTTGCAAGGTGCATCATTGTGCAACCGACACTGTGGCTGAACGGTTAAGGCAGTTGACTAGAAGTCAATTCCTCTGTGAGGGTGCATGTTCAAATCATGCCAGTGTCTCCCTTTTTGGTTTTAGTGAGTGAGTGAGTGAAGAACAACATGTGACTCACAGTGTGCATCACTGTGTAGGACACTGTGGCTGAATGGCTAAGGCAGTTGACTAGAAGTCAATTCCTCTCAGAGGGTGCATGTTCAAACCATGCTGGTGTCTCCTTTTTTGTTTACTGAATGAATTAAGGTGAAGAACCACAATATGTGGCTTGCAGGGTACATCACTGTGTAGGATACTGTGGCTGAATGGCTAAAGCAGTTGACTAGAAGTCAATTCCTCTCAGAGGGTACATGTTCAAATCATGCCAGTGTCTCCCTTTTTGGTTTTAGTGAGTGAGTGAGTGAAGAACAACATGTGACTCACAGTGTGCATCACTGTGTAGGACACTGCAGCTGGATGGCTAAGGCAGTTGACTAGAAGTCAATTCCTCTCTGGGGCTGCATGTTCAAATCATGCCAGTGTCTCCTTTTTGGTTTTAGTGAATGAACTAAGGTGAAGAAAATGTGTGACTCACAGGGTGCATCACTGTGTAGGACACTGTGGCTGAATGGTTAAAGCAGTTGACTAGAAGTCAATTCTACTATAAGGGTGCATGTTTAAGTCATGTCAGTGCCTCCTTTTGTTGTTTTAGTGGATAAAATAAGTTGAAGAACCACAATATGTGACTCACAGGGTATGTCACTGTGTAGGACACTGTAGCTGAATGGCTAAAGGAGTTGACTAGAAGTCAATTCCTCTCTGAGGGTGCAGGTTCAAATCATGCCAGTGTCTCCTTTTTGTTTTAGTGCATAAAATGAAATGAAGAACAATGTGGCTAAGGTAGTTGACCAGAAGTCAATTCCTCCCAGAGGGTGCATGTTCAAGTCATGCCAATGTCCCCTTTGGGCCATTGGGTGTTTTGCTGACAACAGTACATATGTGATTTGCATCATATACAGGTATTACAACTTCACTCCAATTCTCAACTTCAGTTGTCCCAGTCCCATTCCAGTCACTCCAGAACCAGCCTGGTGTCATTCACAATCACCACCTCCATTCCCCCTCCTGATCACCACACCCCCAATTCAGTAATGGACCCTCATCTCCTGTAAGGAATGATGTTCCTTGAGGCCGACCATCTTTATTCCCTTGCTATAAATAATGTACAACAATGTAATTACATATTTATATAACAGAGTGTGACATCAGCAAACTTGGTAGGGAGCTCTGAGTAAATTGAGTCTTTTTGCTGTGCACCCTCTACACATTGGGTGGAGAAAATCAAATGTTTGAATGATTTTGTTCTCCTAAGGATGCAGAAGTGCAAAGATAATATGTATATACATTTTTGGAAATGCATATTAAATGGCCAGCATCATTACTTTTTGTTTTTAAATAATGGATGGTCTTCATATCTCCATGAAATCTGCTTAGTTATTTTGGCACCAGTAGTGCAAAGATAATATGGATATATGTGTGTGTAAAATGGCCATTGTCATTGCTCTGAAAGCTCATATCATATACCTTTTGTGTTTACTAAAATCAGCACCTTATTTGTGTATTGCTATTTACAAAATATGAGGAAAACTCTGAAATTCAAAAATTTGCACTTTATCTTTCATCTCATTTCTTGCTCAAAACTCAACCAATTTTGATGATTCTATGTGAATTGGAAAGCACCAAAGTGTGGCAATGTAACCATGCATGTTATGTAGGGTATAAATCAGTTTTAAAAAAGTGTTCCAAATGAAGTAAATTAAAAATACCACCCAATAAAGCAAACAAAGAGCTGATGTATTCTTCAGATATCATCCAAGCCTTTGACACCAAATTTCCTGTGGTCAAAAAGCCATGGTTATTTGGCTCACCAAAACATGGTGGGACACTTTTCTAACACTGAAACATACATTGCTACATTGCCCCACTTTGGCACTTTCCAATACACATTGAATTATCAAAAAAGTGATTTAATTTCTTTTCCAATTATTCCTAATTTCCTGAAATATCTCTCCCTAACTTATCCTAAATTTTCTGATTTTCCCCCTAATTTCCCCTGATTTTTTGGACATTCTCCATTTTTAGAAAGTCCCCCATTTTCTGAATTTTCCTTAATTTTCCCTGACTTTTTAGAAACCCCCAGTTCCCCCTCATTTTCCTCCCATTTTCCCCTTCATCCCCCCCCTCAATTTCCCCCCCATCCCCCCTTCGATTTTCCCCTCATTCCCCCCCATTCCCCCCTTCAAATTTCCCCCCCATTTCCCCCCTCAATTTTTCCCTCATTCCCCACCTCATTCCCCCCCCCCCAATTCCCCCCCCATGTCATATCCATCCACAGCCATCGACTTCCACTACCTCCACTCCTTCTTCACTAACCTCAGAGCTCCCATATTCCACAATCACCTCGGTACCCCTCAATGGTCACCACCCCCTCCTTTCAATTTATTACCTATGCCTCCCTAAGTACAGAGCCCCGAAGGCTTCCGGACAGCTCCGATGTCCGCTAGCGCACTCCCGCCTCCACTGGGCAATACACTCGCTTGCCCTGCAAGCCCACCTTCAGGCCTATCCTCTTTTCCATTTCTGGGTTATCACCTACCATTCTGTTAACCCCGTAACCTGACTTGTCGGTAATATTCAATCGGCTACTATGCCTTTTGCCAAGATGCAAACTGAGATATGTAATCTGTGTGCCAAGGTGGCCAAAGCTAAGGAGGAAGACCAGGATACTTTGCAAAAGGTATGTATCATGGTTTTCAACCATGTAAGCACAATTCTGTATCTGAAATATTTGTAGAAGCTTTTAAAGAAGCAATGTTGTGTTTTCTCTGCCATCTTTGTGGTTGAGCTGCCAAATAAAATTTGTGGGAAATGCTTAACTGAGCTTGGTATGTACTATACATTCTGCATAATTTGCATCTCATCCTTATATCAAATAATTTATAAGGGAAAGATCATGGACCACTTCCAGTTGAATTTAAACCTCTACCAGCAGGCTAAGACAGCCATCCTTGGTATAAGGGGACCCTGTCAAAAACCCGGATCGTAGGGGAAAAATGCATGAGTCTGAATGCAGGTGGGGCTCAACTAGAGGGGATCTGAGAGCTCCGGTAGTGGACTGAAGCTTCTCCAGGAGGCCCGGTTCTGCTGGATGGTACAAGAGGCTCTAAGAAGGACACAGGAATGTGCCGACTCAGGACCGAGCTTCTGGGATGGGAGTGGCCAAGGTTCAGTGTGCCACAAACAGGCCGGAGCTGAGACAGTTAAGAAGGAAGGTGACTTGGGAGTGGGGAGTTATGGTGTAGGGGATGGTGAAGTTGTTAGGAAGGTGTGGTGTGGTGGGAGTGAGTGGGGTTGGGATTCTGGGATATGACAGACCCCCCAGTTCCTACAGACCAATCCACTTCAAAGCCAAGCTTTGCTATTCCAACAGTCCAAGCCGCTGTTTCTACCGGGGCTGCCATTGATTCCACACTTAACCCCTACTGCAGCATCTATTGCTGGTGGCACTGTCCACTACCAAGCCCAAGCTTCAACTTTTTAGCTAAAACAACATTCACCTGCTCCACCACAAGGATATTCAAGCAGAACCAGTCAATGAAGGATGCAAAAGCTGGTGCTGTGTCATTCAAATATACCTTTTCCAGCAGAGTGGTGCAGTTAATACTGCATCGGTCATGGTGAGCCTACCAGATATAGCTCCCATAAAATTAGCTTTTTATCAGCTATCTACATATGTGTTTATACTTAGTTAAAGAGATTCTCCAACCATCAGCAATATACAGCAAGCACATTGATGCATGAGGCATTCAACCATCTTCTTGTGACATCCTCATCTGCATTTTATGCAGAATTTCAAACAGAAAAGAGAGGTGCCTTCACTAGGTAATAATTCTCTACAGAAATCCATATCACTTGGCTGATCCCTGTTGCAAGGCATGCATTTAAGTATGATATTCATTTTGGCCCAACAGCATTTCAGCATGTTCCAATGGAAGATCTTGAGGGCACTTCTACTGTCCTGGAGTTCTACCAGAAGCACTCCAATGCAACTCATGGTGAGCAAATCCTATCCCTTCGATTTACATTTGATGAAGAAACCTTGGTATGTTACAACTCACTTTCTCTTGAATATAAACTTTGACAAACATATATATATATATAGAAACCATTTGGTGACAATGAGGAGTTTTTCATTGGTCAAAAGCATGAACATTCTCTCAGTATGTGCCTATACCACTTATGATGTTAATAATTGCTCTGAATGTGTTTAGGCTTGGCTAGTGGTCACATAGCAAGACACAAAAGGGTCTCAGTGCTTGAATCTAGCACATTTGATCCTGCCAACATCAACCACTCTCAGAAACTTATACTCATCCCCCCAAAACCTCCTGTTGTATCCTATGCAGATTTCCAGGGACACCTTATGGAAGTTGAATACAGCTACACCACTATCACCATCAATGAGACTGGGAAACTGTCACATCTGTACATACCCAATCCTGAACCGACTCCTGGACCCTCATCCTCGTCTCCTCCAGAGTCCTACCCTACTGCTGTCTGTTCCAATATTCACCTTCGGACCTGACACCACACCTCCTCCTACTCCTCTTCTTACTCCTCACAACACCTCCACCCTTCTGTCACTCTCCTACCCTACCTCTGTCTGTTCCGATACTTACCTTCAGACCTGACACCATTCCTCCTCCACTCCTCTCCCCACTCCTCTCATCTCTCTCCTCCCTCTGACTCTCTTCTGCCAAAACCTCCACCAAGCTATGACCTTCCGCCACTGTCCCATACCCTGTACTCGGACCCTGCTCGTACCTTCACTCCAAGTTTCTGTCATAGTTCCAACCTCGGACTTTGACTCCACCTCGGCTTAAGTCCATTGCATTGGTGACCTCATACTATGTAAACACCATTGCCAACATTCCTCAGACTTTCAACCCCACCTCCATAACCTCCATAAGCTCCGCAAACCCCCAAGCTCCATGGATCATACTCAGCACTTTTGCTGCTTGTAATGTATCTTTCGTGCTTTTCCCTCATCCTTATTTGGACTGCTGCTTCTCCCCATTCTAGCCAGTCAGTCATCATCCCCACTTCACCTCATCCTCCTGCCCCTCTGGGCTTCACCCTCCCTATCTCCTTTCGGATGTACCACAGGTTCTAACCTATGACCTTTCGGTGCTGCTCCACTTCTGTCATCCCTTTGTTCCCATTTGGATGCCTTTGTTCCATTTTGGACCCCCTTTGATTTCCTTGTGCTTTTGTCTCCCTATTATATACAGGCGCTTGTACATACTCATTTCGGACCTTCAGTCTAAAATTGACCTGAAATTCCCCCTAGAGACTTCCTGCTTGCTGCCTCTCAAATGGAGACCAAATGGACAAACAGCAATGGCACAGCACTCCACATGAGTTGCTGAGGCCAAGGTCCCTCCTTGCTAAGTCTCCAGTTCCCCTCCAGAATCATCCGCCCTCGCCCAGTTCTAACAGAAACCTGAGGTTACTCACTCAAGTTCCACAAATGGGCTTTACATTGCTGGTGATTGGCACTCTGTAAAGCATAATGTGTATGGATGGGGTGTTATTGGTGAAGGTGCTACCAAGGTCATATCCCAGAATCCTGACCCTGCACTTCCACACCTCACTACAACACTCCCTACAAGCTTGCCATCTCCTACACTGTTTCCCCCTACAGTCCCACTCCACTTCTGCCCCCACTGTCTCTGCTCTGGACTGGACCTCAGCACACTCACCCTCAGCCATCTCCACCCCAGATGCTTGGACCCAAGTCAGAACCTTCAGAATCCCCAGACCGCTCTGACCTCCCAGTGGATTCCTGTAAGGGATGGACAGGGATGGGATGATGCACACTTTGCATGCATTTCCTCTATTCTTTATTCTTCAATATTCTTCGTAATAAACAATGTAAAACAACTGTATATACATATATAGTGTCTGGGGTCAGGAAAAGGGGCTCAGCTCTTCTCCTCCCCCCCTGTCAAATACTAGCTCCATACAGTCTACGTTATTGACAGCCTGAGGATTGAGGAGTCACCAAGGCCGGCACCCCAACTGGCCTTACAATTCCCAACAATTTATTATATACCTTTAAATCCTTTTTCATTTATTGGAGTCACCCAATATTTCTCAGATGTGTAACTCCAGCTTTGGAGCTATCTGCATTCCTCAGCAACTCTGCCCTTCACCATCTTGATCAGTCATCTCCCACTTCTCTCATGACTGACATCTTCTTTTCATTCAGTCAGCTAACTCCCCCTTACCCACTTCTTGTTCCCATTTATTCTCCAGCCTTCTACTCCACCCCCCTTGACCTGACACCTTGGTTCCCCATTAGAGATATTCGGAACCTTTCAGTATCATCTGGACTTTGACTAAAGTCCTCTCCTCTGCTTTAATATATATACCTGTAGATTAGAACCCATTGTACATTAGTTCTAATCCTCACCCCCAAACTCCTCTATGAGTGATTCATGTCCCCCTCTTACAAGATACCTCAGTCATCTGAAATTAAGGACAACTGTTAGAATTGGGCAGATTCGGACGACTCCGGAGTGGAATTGGAGACTTAGCGTGGAAGGACCTCGGCCTCAGCGACTCTGTCGGAAAAAGTTCAAATCCATGTCAATATATTGCAACGTGATGCAATGACCAAAACGGATATGTGGCGATACAACCGTTGTATTGATCACTTGACGTTGCAACGTGACCCGTGTGTTGCAATGCGGCTTATAGGTTTAAATACATTGCAACGTGATCCACTTGATTTAATACATTAAAAATGATAATACGTCATATATTAGCTCACATAGGAATCGAACACACAACCTGAGGACTGGCGTGAGAACACTGACAACACACAATCACTATATCATACACACTATATTACCGCTCGGCCAGCGAGCCCTTATTACTTAGTAACCAACCCTTGATTCCTCATATAGATATATTAGAGGGATAATGCATAAAGACACCGAACCCAGCTTACATAGTGAATCATCCTGTCAGGGGGGGATATCAGGGTTGGAAACCAGCGCATTAATTGCATCCCCTTTCGGAAATATCCAAAAGGCTGAGCGAGTTCTCACTCAGGTTGAATCACGTGACTTACACATGATCACATCCGGTTATTGTATAGCCATTTAATTAAATTACACCTCAGACACGCTGTACCGTTTTATTTTCCATAATCTTTAACTCATGTTAATGTATATTGTCTTTAGCTACTGTCTATAGGTAATATAACTGAGATCTCATGCTATAAGCTAGAGACTGAGTGACTGTCTATAGATATAATTATCGGCACAGTTTTAACATCAGGTCTCACAAGAGGGATAAATACTGGGAAAATTTTACAGCAGAGAAACGGTCAGGAATCATGTGAGGAAGTTATAGTATGGATGGTGTAGGAAGTCAAGGCAATTCTAACGCAAATTTAACAATGAGAAATGGTGAAGAAGTGGTGGAGATACGAGGAGTTTCAGCCATATACAACACCTAGCTGCTGCTGTGTGTGCGTGGGAGACTTGGTGCACAGACAGTTTCTCTCAGACTTTAGAAAATCCTATTGTTTATGTATAAAATATCTGATTGGCCAGCGGCATATGATGGATCTGTGATAAGAATCCCCAGCCCGATCCGGAGACTCGCCAGGCTAGGATGTGATGTACATAGTTTGGGAGCATAGAAAAATGTAGTTGGTGAGATACAGCCAATTTTGGTATTGTCCAATTTGGGTCCGCATTCATATCTTGGCAACTAAGAGACCCAACTAACTTTTACCCCAATCTGCCCAGCCATTTTTGAGATAATTGGACCCAATTGCGGAACCAAATTAGACCACGTGTCAATAATACTGAAAACGGGCTGGTATCCTGCCTAGAGTTTTGAAAATGGCAAAAAAACATTTATTTTATTGCTACACAAATATGGGGTCAGTTACAATGTCATACACCATGAAATGGCATTTGATATACCTATTGTAACAGTGAGCTGAGGCATTGTGATTCATTGAAATGCGTTGCAATGCATTGGAACGGGCATCATGTGATGCAGTGGATTCGTAACTTTTCCGACATCAGGCGGAGCGCTGTGCCATTTCTGGTTGTCCTAGGGGTCCCTAATTTCGGATCTAGCAGAGGGAAAGTCTCTTGGGGGGAATTCATGTCGATTTCGGACTGAGGTTACAAGTTACTAGGTACATTGTATATAAGGAGGGGTCCGGAATCAAAAGGAACAAGGGTAGGATAAAAGGAGACAAAGGGAGATGGAAAGAGGAACAACACCGAGGGTCAAGGGTTTGACTCAATGGTGTTTCCCAAAGGAGGAGTGAAGGGCCAAGGCCCAAGGAGGAAGGAAGGAGGTTAGGAGTGGGGAATGGCTAGCTGACTGAATAGAAAGGAAGCAGCAGCCCAAATAGGAATGAGGGAGAATAGTGGAATTGAATGGAGCAATGCAATAGTTGCAAGGTCCGACATAAGTCCGGAAAGTCCGAACTCGGAAGTTAAACTCCGGAATATTGGCAAACGTAATTAAATGGAATGAGCTAACCAATACAATGGGTATAAGCGGAGGTGGGGTCAAAGTCCGAGGTCAGAGCTAAGACCGGAGGTTCCAGAGACGGAGACGCAAACGGGATTCCGGAGCAGAGGTCCGGAGTCGGGAGCATAGGTTTTGTGTACTCGTCTGGAAGGTGTCGAGGTTGGGGTCGGACCCAGAATGTTCCGGAGTCGGACCGAAGGTGGTGTCCGAGCCGGAGGTGGGATAACCTCTTGGGAGTCGGCAAGGAGAAAGTGACGGAAGGGAAGTAGGGCTCCGGAAGTCGGAGTTCGGAGTTCCAGGAGCCCGGAGCGGAGGTCGGGATTGTATGGATATGACAACAACTAAGACATAATGGAGGCACAGCACTCCCTTCTGAGTCACTGAGGCTGTGTCCTTCTAAGAGACTCTTGTACTAGCCAGCAGACTCAGGCTTCCTGGAGAAGCTTCAGTCCACTACCTGATCTCCCAGGACCCCCTAGTTGAGCCCTGTCTGCACCTGAATTGGCATGTTTGACAGAATGTAAAAATTACAACACTAAAACAACCAGAAACCATCACAGAAAATTAAACAAAAATCATACAACCTCACAGATAAGAAATAAAAATAGTAATAAAATCATAATTCAGCAAAATGAATTGAAATAAAATATCAGAAAGAACATAGTCAATGAGCTGAGTATCCACATGAACTTTCAAGTCTGGAGATTAAAAGATGGTCCAGAAAATGAAGAAAAACAGCAAATAAAAACAAAAACAAGGTTTCCTGTATCAAATAAAATCTGAGAAATTCACAATAACGTTGTAGGCAGGATAATTGCCCATGCACAGACTCGCTTCCACAACTATAACACCCCTTTCATTCATGCGACAACTCGATACGAATTTGGTACCTAAAAATAGTGCTAATTCGTACGATTCCGACGATATCAAGAACGTCCCAATCGGTGGAGAATTGACAGAGATAATCCTGTACATACCAGATTTTTAAAAAAGAAGTTCTCCCCTCCCCCAAATTCTCTAAGGTGCCAGGACATGCTAGAGTTGGTGTGAGTGTGTGGAATTCCAACAGTAGGAATAAGGGCAGTGGTCTAGCTCACAATGAGTGAGTAGTGGACACTGAACCCGGACCTTGCAGAAATCCCAGAGAACCCACATGGAGTTTAAGGATCGAGAATGTAGTGAGTTTAGTGGAGAAAGTAGGGTTTTGAGGGTTTGGCCCCCACAAGCTTAGTCAGCATCAAGAGCTGTGAGCCCTCTTTCAACATCGGAAAATAGTTTTATGGAGGTACAAAATGAATGACAAAGAGAAATTGGAAGAAAATTACATAATGAAAGTGGTCAGGTATGAGGAAAAGATGAAAGAATTGGAAATATTTATACAAGAAAAGTAGGAAAAAATCTTTATCAGTCTTAGAGTGTTGAAGTATAGGTCTGTGTACAGAAATATTTCATGTTAAAATCTGAAGAATTGAGGGAGAAACAGATTTAACAAAATTAAAACATGCTCGCAGAGAAGACTGGCTCAAACATCCTGAGTTTGTGGTAGAAATGGATAAACTAGAAATGCAAAACTAAAGAGTTTGAGTCCAGGAACAAGGTATATTTATCCAGAATTAATTGTAAGAAAATGGATGAGTTAATGCCAAAGCAATCTGGAGAACCTCAAAATTAAATCTTGAAAAATTCATATCTTCATAAATAATCCTCATAATTTACTGTTGTTTATACCAACAGAAAGCTACACCCTTAAGCTAACAAATAACCCCATGACATGTGACTTAGAACAAAATGAGTAAACAAGGTCATGATGGGTGTTAGACAGTGCAATCAGCTGATTCTCACACCAAAACTTCCAGAAAGTTCTAGAAGCAGAATGGAATGCTGATCGCTTACATAAGAGGATTACCAAGCTTAATACAAGATTACTCAGCAATGTAAATAGTCCTTAGGAAGGTATAAAAGACCACATTTTCTGGTCTGACCCCTCTTCCCATTGAGTCAAGTTGGTTGGAGTCACTCTGAGTTAAAAGTGACAAGACAGAGGTAAAACAACTGAAAATAGTAGGTCTATAGTGTGATTTTTGTGTGGAACAATCAGGTAGACAAGTGAATTGAACCCTGAGAGTTACATACACACACAAACAATTAGTAACACATATAAATATCAATACACAAAGCAACCAAAATGCTACAGTGGTTGAGTTAAAGTACCAATACTAACATATAAGTATCAGAAGAAAGAACAGCCTTTTTGTCAGGGCACATACCCTGACTTAGCCTGGACCCGGACCCGCGTCCGGACCCGCTCCACTTCCCGCACACTTCCTGCGCCGCATGCTCCGTGCGCCGCATGATCCGACCCCGGATCCCACCTCATGTGACTTCCGGGTATCCCCGGAAGTTTTCGCCATATTGGGGCCACTGTGGGAAAGTGAGAAGTTAACCTTCTTCTCACTTTCTTACCCACAGTAGGCAAGTGTATCTACTTGCCCCTTTGTTTATACCACTTTCTTACCCACAGTAGCTCTTTGCCTTGAGACTAGGCTGTTACAGGTTGGGCTGTGGGCTATAGAGAGAGGGGTCATGGGGACCCGGGGTCCGTCCCCTGACAGCAGAAGAAGGTTTCAACCTTCGCCCCTGCCCACCTAGGATGTCCCGCATGGGCCATGAGAGCCCGGACTGAGTCGGAGCTGGGCACGGGCCGAACACGCGATTTTCGAGTGGCAGCCATGCCACGTCATCACTTCCCCCAGACCATTACACATTCATTACCTGCGATACAACCACACTCCCATTCCCTATCCCAGCCCCTTGCAACGCTGTCCCACAGATTGTGTTCCAATCTGTGAGGTTGAGTTGAGGGTCATCCCACCGCTTCCCAGACACCTCGCTGAACGCGCTAAGGAGACATAGCCGCCCGACTGCTGCCGACGTACCGGCCGAAAGGCACTCTGGAAACGGGGTCACCTACCCACTGCCAGCCTCGTAACTGCAGATGCAAGAATGATGACCCACTAGAGACTACCCACCCGGTCCCCCACATTATCCCACCGCTACCCGGACACCTCGCTGAATGTGCTAGGGAGACAAAGCCGCCCGACTGCTGCCAACGAACTGGCCGAAAAGCACTCTGGAAACGGGGTCACCCACCCGCTGCCAGCCTCGTAACCGCAGATGCCCAAGATAACCTGGATGAGACCACCCACCCCCGCTTTCACTTGCGACTGAGAGTCGCATGCACACGCAAGCGCATTTTTTGGATTCATGACGGAGAATGAGCATGAGAGGGAATGGATGCCGCTGGTGAGAGTGCCCAGGATCCCTGCTATGGCCGCTTAGGCATGCGGCATAGAGGGAGGGTTGTGTATCCCAGCCGCATCACGGACCCGCTATGGCTCACGGACCCGACTCCCTGCGGTGCCGGGCACCCAGGAGAGAGTTTGACATTAGAATTTCAATGGAGGATGGACATGAGAAGGGAAGTGTCAGGGCAACCACACCTGACCATACAACCCCAGAACCACCTTCCCTGACCTCCCCCCACTTCCCTGATCCTCCCATCTTCACACACCTTTCGCAACTACAGCCCGCACGCGAACCCGCAGGAAAAATCACGTGGGTCAAGGCGAGCAACTCGCCTTAACCCACGTGACACCTTTTCCACATCGCGGGAACATGCTCGGCTCCTACCCTTAGTCATGTTACGAACTTGAGTTCGAGGAGCTTGGGGTAAGATCCAGCACCTGGCTGCCTGGGACACCGCAAGTGTCCAGTTCTGAGGTAGGGCCGCCCCCGGACAAAGGCCGGGCCCTGACAGGAAGGATAGGAGCTGACGAAGGAGCCCAAGGTCCCCTGCTGTGACCGCTTGGGAATGCGGCACAGAGGGAGGGTGGTGCTCAGCCCACATCAGGTAGCCCCACTGTCCACACACCCGGACTCCCCAGTGTGCAAGATGCACTTGGGGGAGAGTTGTTTTCCACACGCGACCCCGCATGGCCCAGTCTCGGGCCCGACTATCTTTACCGCATACCCGCTACCCACCCCGAAAAATTTTTTCCTTTCCATACTTTCCCCATCCACCCCTGAAGAGGAGCCCAGTGTCCTAGGCAACAGACCACCATGTGCAGAGGAGGGGGGAGAGGGGGTTTTTGAGGTTTAGCCACTTCGGGGCGAAGTGGCATTAGAGGGAGGGTGAGGAGCGGGGTGTAGACCCTACCGGATCCCCTGGGACTCTCCCACTATTGCCGCTACCTCGGCGCTACCACACCCCCGACCCCGCATACCCGGAGGAGCGCAGCCCGGAGGTCAGAGTGCAGGCACGCAGACGATGGCCCAGAGGTCAAGTGCTGCACGACCACCCTCCATACCCGAAGTGGGCGCAGCCCCAAGGCCGGATGTGATCACGGGGACGACACGACTGCAGCTGGGGCATCATGAGATGATGAGGGATGCAGGCTGGAGGTCGCCGAGTCGCAAGCAGATGATGGAGGGTGCTGAAGGACCCAAATTTTTTTTCAGGCAAGTCTTAGGGGAGCGCCGCATATGCGGCGATGGACGACTAGTTTAATTTTTTTTAACTTAACTCTTATTTTTTCGCCGCCTTTTTAACTTAGAATAGTTTTACATTTCCACCACCACATCATCTCCCGCTCCCGCTCCCACCCGCTTTATTTTTTGTTTTGCTTTGTTCTAACCACTTGAGGGATGGGTTACCTGGGGACTAGGGCCACTTCGGGGCGAAGTGGCTTAGAGGGAGGGTGATGTCAGGGCACATACCCTGACTTAGCCTGGACCCGGACCCGCGTCCGGACCCGCTCCACTTCCCGCACACTTCCTGCGCCGCATGCTCCGTGCGCCGCATGATCCGACCCCGGATCCCACCTCATGTGACTTCCGGGTATCCCCGGAAGTTTTCGCCATATTGGGGCCACTGTGGGAAAGTGAGAAGTTAACCTTCTTCTCACTTTCTTACCCACAGTAGGCAAGTGTATCTACTTGCCCCTTTGTTTATACCACTTTCTTACCCACAGTAGCTCTTTGCCTTGAGACTAGGCTGTTACAGGTTGGGCTGTGGGCTATAGAGAGAGGGGTCATGGGGACCCGGGGTCCGTCCCCTGACACTTTTATAGGATTTTCTGTTCTCCTCCTTCAGCAGTTGAATGATGGAAGTCTGCAGTTGATTCCAGCATTTTCAGACCTAGGATATGACTGCCTTGCTTATGCAAACAAGGTTTGCATTCACTAGCACAAGTGACTGAAGGTCATTTCATGGCAAACCTTGGCAGGCCAATGTATGCAATCCCATTCATCCAGTCACAATGTCAGGTGAAGTTGTTATTAATATACTACATGCTACTCAGGGGATAATATAGCCTACTGCATGCACAGCCAATCTACACAGGTGTTTGATCCAGCTATGTGGGGCTGTGCTGGATCAAGGACTTGGATCAAGGATCAAGGATCAGGGATCAGGGATCAGGGATCAGGGATCAGGGATCATGGATCATGGATCATAGGGTTGGATCATGGGGCTGTGTAGTGTCATCAATCATGAGTAAGCAGGCTGGACACAGGTGTACTCTGACATATTCTCATGCTATTGTATATCCATAGTTATACATGTTTGTCATGGCACAAATATACAATAGAAAGGGGAGAATAAGGGGTGGGGCTGGCACTCCTTACAATCCATGACTTGTCCATCCAACACTAATCCATTAGCATCCAAAGTACATCACTGGTCCCAATGATCCCCATGTTTTGCAGCACCAGGATTTTGATGTCTCCACAAGGTTTGTGCAGCACCACAAGTTTTATAAAGCTGTTCCCATGAGCATGATGCCTTCAACAGGCCATTCCAGATAGTTTTATCTGCCTGTTTAACTGGACCAAATAGACATAGACTGGGAGGTAGTCCTGCACACCAGATGTCATATGAAATGCATCCACTACCATGGGGTGTGGGCAGACTTTGGCCAAAGCAAGTGCAAATATGATTCAGATGATGCAAATATTTAGTTTGGCATCATCTTCATGGAGAATTCCTACCAAATAGACCCAACACTGGCTTGTCCATATAACTTGGGTCATTTTTGACCTGGGCCAGAATCACAAAGGAGTTGGTCTTGGCAATATTCTGACTGTCATCAAGAACACCTGCACCACACAGATCAAAGCCTGGCTGCCCATTGGCACAGAGAACAAATGCACCATGAGTTGTTAGCTGGAGTAATTGTTCCACACTGCATGAGTTCCACTGGTGGACTTTAATGAAGTGGTTAAAGTGTGTCATAGCATCCTTAAATGTATCCTGGAACATTGGAGTGGATTTATTTGGAGAAATAGACAGCTTCATTGCAAGCACTGACTTTGATTTTGTGAACAAGGCCTGAATCAATTGGATTATGGGTGTGATGGGAGCATTTGGCACAGCTTGCAGGGCATCAGTTGCTTTATCATGAGCCAGGGTCAAGAGAAGCATTGCAGGCAGCTCCTCTTGTTCACCTTGATGTATGGAAAAGCCACTGAGAACATCTTGCATAACCACAACAGAGTTAAACCCCTTCATCAAACATGCAGCTGCTTCAGCAACTAACAGCTCTGATGGTGAAACACTTGTCATAGTTTCAGGACCTTGGTCCATTTGAAGGCATACATGCAAGTGACCTTCAGCCTGAGTATGCTCTTGTTCTTTGGTGAAGTAAGATGTTGAGTTAAACTCCAGTGCAAGGGAAGTGCTCTGCATGCAATCTCCACCTAGGAAGGGCCAGCTTTCTTCTCTCATTTCCCCTCACTGCTCAGCTGGAGCCTGTGTCACCTAGCACACCTCATGGTTCTCCTATTGAGACCGGCCCAGACCTTCCTAGTCTTACCTCCACATCTACTGGATCCCTTGACCTTAGCTCCAAGCAGCTCAATATCCTGACAGAATACTCCTTTCCTCTATGTTAAATATAGCTCTATACAGCTAACTTGTGGCTGTCAGGGTTCAGCCCTCATCCAGAGGTAACCCAGTGAAAAGACCCAGTATGGATGCTGGAGTGCTCACTCCAGCTCCTAGCTCCTTGTTATAAAAATGGGTAGATTTTCCTGAAAATACCTTTATTGAGTTTATTTTTAAGTCATTTACATTTTTTATTATAAACCCAAGTACCATTGACCTGTCCACAGCATGCCCATGACACACCCAGCCCAAGGGCCTCAGGCAGTTTCCTGCTGTACTGGAGGGAATGGATGTGTGGTGATGCATGCTGTGCATGCTTTCTGTATTCATTGTTTATTACTCTTTATTTATCAATGTAAACAATGTATATAAATTGTGGGGAAAGGTGAAACAAGTTTTCACTCTTCTCCCCTGTTGAATTACAGCTCTATACTGCCTAACTTCTGACAGCTTGAGGATAGCAAGTGTTACAAAAATGGGGCCGGGGGCGCCCATTTTCGTCCGTTCTTGGCGCAGGAAAGTGGAAAGTGGAGGTGGGGTGATTCATTAGGCTTAGTTTCACAGATGTTGTAACATGAGGTTTAACAGATGTTAGCACAGCGGTTTTTTTGGTAATTGTTGATTGGTTAAACTTAATTGCTATATAAATCACATGATACAGAACCCATAAGAGTCTAAAATGAGAAATTCCCATTTCCATAACAGCAAGAGTCAACACCAAGGTCAGAACCTCAACCAACCTTACATGTACCCAGCACACACACTTGTAGTGGATGCCCTCAGGATCCCCTGCAGGGACACCTGGGTGGCTGTGGCTGTGTGCAAGGGTGATGTAGCACCCATCATGTGACCCAAGCTGCATGTATATAAATGTACCTGAAGTGGGAACCAAAGAAGTAGCCTTCTTCTCATCCTTTCCACTTCAGTCTAAGTGGCCAGGGACTACTGTCCCACATCAGGCCTGTCAGTATGCATGCCCACTCTGCACCCCATGAGGCTTCTAGTGCCAGGCACTACACTTAGGCCTCCTCAACCCTGGATGCTGTAGGCAGGATAACCTACTATACCCTTCACTACCAGAATATATTGCACTATACATTCCTTATGGGTTCCCTGTATGCAAGGACCATCTGCCAATGCTCATGGAGCATAAACACATTTTTTTTTGGAGTATAATTCCACATAAGGCATACTGAATTACTCCAGCTGTCATATCCATCCACAGCCATCAACTTCCACCCCTTCCGATCCCTCTGGACTATCTCTGCTCCTTCTTCACTAACCTCGGAGCTCCCATATTCTGCAATCACCTCCGCATCCCTCGATGGTCACCACCCCCTCTTTTCAATATATTACCTACACCTCCCTAAGTATGGAGCCCCAAAGGTTTCCGGACAGCTCCAACGTCCACTAGCGCACTCCTGCCTCCGCTGGGCAATACACTCGCTTGCCCTGCAAGCCCACCTTCGGGCCTATCCCTCCTTTCCATTTCTGGGTTATCGCCTACCATTCCGCTAACCCCGTAACCCGACTCATCGGTAATATTCAATCAGCTAATGTTTAACCCCATTAGCTCCACTCCACTCAGCCCCACCATTTACAGGCCCACCCTCGTTACTATATATACTCAACTTGTACATAGGTTACACCTCAGTAATAAAATCGACTAGAGTTTACCCCCTTTTAGTTCTGGTTGCCAGTTAGTAAGTTAGGGCATGGACGTGTTACTTGGCACAGCACTCCTGGCATAAGTCGCTGAGGCCGAAGCCCTCCACCACGGAGACACTCTTTCATCTCGATCTGGTCTCTGACAGTATTTTATTACTCCCTGACTAGTACACATCTTGTATGGCACCAAAAGCCCCTCGCACTCATTCACAACTATGCACATGAGTTCCCAACTCCGCCTCACCATCCCCAGAACCCTCACAGCCTGGTCCCAGTCGATTGGCGAGGAACCCAGTTGAGTTTCGCAGCTTTTCTAATCTAGAAACCCCTCTCCTGTTGACTCTGATCATGCGTTGTAAGGGGGCAAGGGATCTACCACCCTAACGAGAAAGAGAGGGGGCCACAGAGTTGGGAATGCTCAGGGGAGGTTCGGATGGTGAGGAGGGGGGAGGAGAAATGGTCCGGTGCTATGTGATAAAAAATGATAAACTCATAAATCTCACTGATAATCAAACTAATGGGGAACTCTGCCCCTGCACTATGTCTTGAGCCTCTTTGGCTTCGTATTCGCCGCTCTGGGCACTGGTAACGTCTGCTAGAACTTCATGTTCGTTGGGAGCACCTCTCTGTTTTTGGGGGAGTCCTTTTTTGTAAATACAGGGAAGAGGCAGTTATAAATATGAAAGAAATACGTGGAAATCCGAATGATCCGACGGGTTTAGGACGGCAACAGATCCACAAGGAACAAATAAGAAAAAAGCAATATCAAAGAAATATTGATGTTGTTAAGGAAATAAAGAACCATGGCGATCGGAACAGCCGCTGAACAAAATGCGTCACTCGTAACATCTTTCGACTCGTGTTGACAAGGGCTTTCCAACGATACCAAATTCGTCCGGATCGGTGGAGAATTGATGGAGATACAGAGGAAGCGGCAGAATATGCGGGTGACAGTTGCCCAATTTGGAAACTGATGGTTGTCCGTGGTCGGGAATGGCTTGAAAAAATCGGAAGAAATATGAAAAACGTGGAAGAGATATATGGAACAATGGTAGATGTGTTTCGGGTGCTTGACATCGGTGGTAGAATCGCGATAATCAGCTCGTTTGCGTGGTACTGGCTGTGCCCGCCTACAATGTCAGCCTCAGACAGAGCCATGCTATTGCAGGTGGCTCCGCAGGTGATCCCAAGTGCTTAGGGAAAAGAGGTACAAGTAGAGATGCATGGCACATCCGGCAGCGTGGCACCATGTGAGGTACTCAGCGTTGGATGCATCCATGCTACAAGTATAAGGAAGGAAGTTGTCCATATAAGAAAGGAAAGAAGAAGGAGAAGAAGAAGGAAAAGAAGGAGGGAGGAAGCGGAGGGAGTGGCACAGAGCAGCATGCCCTGACAGGCAATAGAGAAAGCTCACAATGCAATAGGCATCCTTGCTGTCACATCCATCTATGGCCATCGTCCTCCACTACCTCCAATCCTTCTGGACTACCTCCGCTCCTTTGTCACTAACCTCAGAACCTCTGGATTCCGCAATCACCTCCGACTCCCTCGATGGTCACCACCCCCTCAATTCAATATATTACCTATGCCTCCCTAAGTACGGAACCCCAAAGGCCTCCAGACAGCTCCAACGTCTGCTAGCGCACTCCTGCCCCCACTGGGAAATTCACTTGCTTGCCCTGCAAGTCTACCTTCAGGCCTATCCCTCCTTTCTGTTGCTGGGTTATAGCCCACCATCCTGCTAACCCCATAACCCGACTCATCGGTAACATTCAGTTGGCTAACGTTTAACTCCATTGTCAGAAAAAATCTAAATCTGCTTCAATACATTACAACGTGATGCAATGGCCAAAATGGATATGTGGCAATGCAACCATTGTATCGATGTCTTGGCGTTGCAACAGCAGAGGCCGGGATTCAATACATTGCAATGTGACCTATAGGCTTGAAACACATGACAATGCAGCCTATCGGGTTTAAATACATTACAACATGACCCCATCGGCTTGAAACACGGCCTATTGGTTTAAATGAATTACAACGTGACCCATTTGGCCTCAATACATTGCAACAGGGGGGCAACATTGGGACAAAAAGTGGCTCACCAGATGTCCCATGCAGGATCCAAACACCTTACCCCTAACTTAACAGAGTCTATACAATACACAACAGTGCTAATATAGGAATTACACACCATTATACACTTACTGCTCGACCAGCGAGCCCTTACTGATATAGGACCCATACTAGGCTCCCTATATATGGTTAATAGAGTCGGATGTGGTTGATATAGCGATTTTTGTATGTCCGCTCACAGCCCAACCTCTTTGAAGCCTTGTACAGGAACCCCAGGCTCATTCAACCACTGTGGAACATAGTTTATTTCGACTATGTATTTTCTTCGTGCTTTGCCTTTTCTTCAATTCCCACATTATCTGTGCTGTTCTGTCTTCGGCGCCACCCTTCAACTACCCACTCGCTTGCATGCGTGATGATGAGAGAGCGGCAATTCACATAGAGAGACGTTGAGCATCATATAAGAGGTGTTGTCCATGATCATTCATACTGACCGACATTGAACACGATAGCATCCCCACCATTGATCTTATCACTCCCTTTGTTGCAACATCACCTGCTATGGCCATGAACCTCCACCTCTTCAACTGTATCATTTGACTGTTACAATCGACCCGATCAGCAACAGCACCTTCGACCCCTTATTGCAACATCGCTCGTGTGCCTGCAGTGGCCATGAACCTCCACCTCTTTGTCAGGGACGCGTCCGGGGTCGAGGTGGCCCAAGGGTAATGCCCAGCACTGAGGCTGTCGTGGGGTGTGGAGCAGGCATGCATACTGGCAAGCCTGGTCCGGGATGATGGTCCCTGGCCACTCAGACTGAAGTGGGAACTGTGAGTTGTTATTAAAAAGGGGGGCTATGCTACTTACCTGAAGTGGGAACTGTGAGAAGAAGGTTACCCCTTCGGTTCCCACCCCAGGTACCTTTATGTACATGCAGCTTGGGTCACATGAGGTTTGCCACATCACCCTGCATACAGCTGCAGTCATCCGGGTGTCCCCGTGGGGGATCCCGAGGGCATGTGCTGCATGCGTGCGTGCTGGGTTGCACTGCAAGGCCGTCCAGGTCATCCGGGGCTGGGTGTGTCACACACGCATCGTGGGCAGGTCAATAATACATAGGTATGAGGAAAGGTCGTCCGTGTAGATAAAGATAGATGAAAGAATGAAAGAATAAAAGGACAAAGGGATAGAAAGAAGAACAAGAGTTGAGGAAAGGTGATGAAGGGTGGGGGTGGAGGTGAGTGGGATACCGGGTCAGGGTGGGTGGAGCCGGGTCAGGTGGGTGTGCCCTGACACTCTTCAACTGTATCATTTGACTGTTACAATCAACTCAGTATCTTTATACCATTGTTGCAACATTGTGCATGCCCACCTGCCATTGGCCCATTCAACTGTATCATTCAACCAATGGTAACTTCAAACCATTGTTACAATATCGCTCATGCCTACCCCACCACCATGAACCACCTTCGGTCTCCTCAACGATATTGATTGATCATCACAATCAATCCGATCAGCAACAAACCTTCAAATTATTGTCACAACATTTCTTGCACCCA